TTTTTTTTTTTTTTTTTTTAATTCAAGAGGGAGAAAAAGAATCCCAAGCAGGCTTCATGCTCAGCATAGAGCCTGATGTGGGACTCGATCCCATGACCCGGGATCATGACCTGAGCCAAAATCGAGAATTGGATACTCAACCGAGTGAGCCACCAAGGCACCCCATCTCTCAGTCCTTCTTGACCGCCCCATTGTACCCCAGACTGAGAGGCCTATTGCGCTCCTTCCCTGGCACCAACAGCCCCTCAAGAACCCTGCGTTTCTTCCCTGGGTCTCTTCACTACCTTCTGCCTGCTCTCTCCGGACTCCAGCCCAGGTGTCCTTCAGACCATCCCATGCATGGCCACAGAATGATCCCAAACCAGACTTAATGTTACGTTAGTCTCTCTCCCTGGAACATGCTGAGCATTTCCTGGTCCTCCACCGCCGCCAGCAGTGACAGCCAGTTCATGCAGTTCCTTCCCCTTCTGTACCTCAGAGCTTTGGGAACTTTTGTGACTTGACTTCTGTCATGCTCTTACCTTACTTACTCCAGCTGCTAGACAGAATTCGTGTTTTTCACTTGATCTTAGCCAAAAGGCTGAGAAGCGATCGAATTCATGTTTTTCAAGTTAGGGTCACATTCTATTTATGTTTTCACTCTTCAAGCTACAAGTGTTTTCCTTGGCTCCCAGAGGTCCTCAAAAGCTGTTTCCTAAAAAAAAAAAAAACAAAACTGTTTCCTTCACTGCATCTGCTTGTCCCTTGCCACACAGTCTTCACATGCCTGTCTTCAGCTGTGCGGTGGCACTCACTTCATTGCCGGTGCTCCTGGGATAGAGATGGGCGTGAAGTGGTTTTCTCTCAACCCCGTCCATGATTTGAAGGAGGAAAAAAACGTTCAGATCATCTCACTTTCCTTCCTTCTGTACTCAGATTGATGTTGAAGCAAATCACTAGAGTATTTTTTTCAAAACATGTTTTCTAATGCAAATGCCAGGAATTTGCAGTCTCACTTGTTTCCGTTCTCCCGACCTCACCTGAAGACTGGAGAGGTGAGGGTTAGAAAATACAACTCCCAGGTCTCTCGCCTAGCCCTCTGCAGTGATGGCTCCTGACCGCAGTAGGCGCTCTGAAGGCACCACCGCCTCGGGAGGCAGGCCTCTGCTATGAGACTTCACCACTTTCCCTCTAGCACTTGCTTCCCGTGAGATGGGGAAGGGCTGACCATGAGAATCAGCCAGGTGTCCCTGGCTCTCCCAGGACTTGCTCATTACCATCTTCCTTCCATCTGCCCTTTCTGCCTCAAGTATCAGTCTGTATTTAGCTGCTGGCCACCCTGGGGTAGCTGCCACTGCAAAATCGGAATTCCCCTTGTGTTTAACCTGTGATGAATTGGGGCTCTAAACTTTGGAAAAGCGAAGAACCCCAGTAAAATCGGTGGCGATCCTTAAAAAATAGAAGTCAAGCCTCTGGTATAGCTGACAAACTAGAATATACCTGTGTATCTATTCTTTGAGGTTAATCTGGAAAGAGCGTGGTGAGGGAGTATCATGGGTGAGGGGTTGAAGGGAAAATTCCAGCTATTGGGAAGACAATCAGAATGTTAAACGACGCTTATGATTCAGAGTGGATATGAGCAGAGAAATGCAGAATCACTTCGAAGAGCCCTGTTCTCTGGGCAGCAGGCCCTGCCTGAAACCTGAGTCTTGACATGCAGGAAGAGTGTCAGCCTGAGGGAAGTCAGCCAGCCATTGTGGTCCCCCAGGGAGGCCAGGCTGGCAGTGAGGCCCATCTGGTTTCTAGGGCAAGTTGGCAGTGAGTGTAGAGATGGACACCTCACATGAACACAACCCACGTCCCCCCTCTCCAACCCATAATGGTAGGTGTCCTAGCTGGGCTCCTCTAGCTAATCTCCGAATGACCAGGCTTCCTGCGCTGGTCCCCTCTGAGAGAGGAGGTGCTCGCCCAGAGCTCTCCATAGCCTTGGCAGTCGTGGTGCTCCGTCAATGAGCCGGTTGGCATTCTGGCCCCAGACTGCAGGGCAAATACTAAATGAGTCACTAGGACCCCACAAAGGGCGGGGGGGGG